CTCCCTCCAGTTCCTCAAGAGTCATACAGACTTGGGACTAAATCTCAGCTCACACATCTGAGCATGTTAACTCATTAGCAATACAAAGATAGTAATGATATCCACCTCACAGCCTGTTCAAGCTGACACATATTAGGGACTCAAGTTAGGGTTAGGTTAAGGGCTACGTATTCTGAAAGTTATATGCAAAATATTGTGGGTAAGTGTATTTTTCTGGAAAGAGAGTCTTTTTTTGTGTGGGGGCAGGAAGCAGGGGGGCAGCCAAAGGGATTTGTGACTTAAAGATGTTAAATCACCACCATTGAGTTTCACACCATACAGTATAAACCAACACTTGATGGGGGAAAATAATTGTCAGAGAGATGAGGCTGTGCTTAGGAATTCAAGCATATCATCTTGCTGCACAGCAAAAACTGTCAAAATCCTCCCCTGGAATCATTAAAGCCAGTAAAGAAAGCTAATAATTCATTTACACATCAGCAAAACTCTAGGTATACTTCACAGCATTCTAACTCTTAAAAAAAAACCCAATCAAGAGAGTACCTTTAAAACTATATAATCTATCTCTTCTGAAATGGATCTCCATCTCTTATATACAAAAGGCTTTCCTTCTCTCTGCTCAACTCCTGGAGTACCCAGCCCCCTGATGCTACCAGGTTAGAACCTTGTTTCTACCATCTGCTGCACACACGCTGTGCGCACTCATTTTGCACCTTCTACCCACTTATCATTTGAAAGACCCTGATGCTGGGAAAGGTTAAGGGCAGGAGGAGAAGGGGACGACAGAGGATGAGATGGTTGGATGGCATCATCGACTCAATGGACATGGGTTTGGGTGGACTCCAGGAGTTGGTGATGGACAGGGAGGCCTGGCGTGCTGCGTTCATGGGGTCACAAAGAGTCAGACACGACTGAGCAACTGAACTGAACTGAACCCACTTATCTCCCACAACCCCTCCTATCAGTAGGGAGATAAGAAATGACAGGGATGTAGGGCTTAAATCTATACCACAGTTAAGTTTATATTTTTTAGAAGGCATTTTGCCTTATTTTGTTAGTTTTTCTTTAAACAACAAAGCATTATAGCTAAAGTTCTGTTCCCAAACTTTTTCCCTTCTTTTCTCTTCCAGCAGTACCAACATTGCTACATACATGTCCTTCCCATGAAAGTTTGTATATTTTTTCCATATGCTCGTATGCTCACAAATAAAACATATGATTGTGCCGTGGGTTTTAAAACTTTACATGCTATTATATTGTATTATGATTTTAATAAGATATAATTGAAACACCATAAAATTCACCCTCTCAAAGTCTACAGTTCAGTGTTTTCTTAGTATATCCATAAAGTTGTGAAACCATCAGACCTATCTCACTCCAGAACATTTTCCTCACCCCCAAAGAGACACCCGTGCCTATTAGTCATTACTCTTCACTCTCTTGCATCTTCCTCTCCTTTTGGCCACTGGCAGCCTCCAATCTGTCTCTACGGACTTGCCCACTCTAGACATTTCATGGAAATGTAATCATATAATATGTGATCTTTCATGTCTGGCTTATTTCACTTAACCCTGATTTTTAAAGATTCATCCATGTCTTAGCACGTGTCAATATTTCATTCCTTTTTATGACCAAATAAAATCTCATTGTATGGATATACTACCTTTTGTTTACCTGTTCATTAGTTGATGGATACTTCAGTTGCTTCCACTGTTTGGCTATTAAAAAGAAAGTTGCTATGAGCATTTCAGCATGAGTTTTTGTGTGAACATGTGTTTTCATTTGTCTTGGGTATATATTTAGGAGTGGAAGTGTTGGGTCATATGCTTAACTTTTGGGGAAACTGCCAAGTTGTTTTCCAAAGCATCTTCCTAGCTTAACTCCATTCCAAATCTGTGGACCAACAGAGTTTCTTAGAGACTGAAGAGGAGCCCAACACACAAGAACAGTTTAGAGCAGAGGCTCAGATTAGCCGCACTGCTAATGAGTTTAAGGGATAATAATGACAAGCAACCCAACACAGACATCACAGAAAATTATAGGATAAATGATGTTCTTACTAAGCATTAACACATGAAAAAATATGTAGCTATTGATATTTACTGGGCATTTTCCTCAGATGAGCTTCCCTTTCTTACCAGAAGGTGGCAGAGAGGGTGCAGTTTAAACTCCCACCTCCCTCATTTTTACAGGAAACTTTCTTTTTCTTTTTTTAAAGAATAAAACAATCACAATCTCCCAATTCATCCCACCTCCCCTTCCCCACTTGGTGTTCATACATTTGTTCTCTATGTCTGTGTCTCTATTTCTGTTTTGCAAATAAGATCATTGATACCATTTTTCTAGATTCCACTTACATGCAATACTATATAACACTTGTTTTTCTCTTTCTGACTTACTTCACTCTATATGACATAGCTAACTAATGAAAAACTACTATATAGCTCAGGGAACCCCACTCAGTGCTCTGTGGTGACCTAAATGGGAAGGAAATTCAAAAAAGAGGGGAAAATATACATACGTATATTGATTCACTTTGCTGTCAGTAAAAACTAACATAACATTGTAAAGCAACTACCCCCCAATAAAAATCAATTTAAAAAATAAAAATAAGACAAATAACACTAGCAACTTACAGCTTTTAACCTTAGAAATACAGATTCTCAGGTCCTATTATTTACTATCATTTATTAGAAAATCATGCAAGTGTGACTAGGGAGAATCACTATTGATATCTATACCACATGGGTTAAATACAACATAAGCTATAAGAAAGAACTAATAAATATGTCTAAAAGTTATGAATAGATAAACCCACTCTAATTAGTATAAGCATTTTAAGGGCAACTGAAAAATAAAAATGTATACATGCCACAGATTGATGGGAATGATCACAATTTGCAACATGAAAGAAAATGTAATTTCAGAAAGCAGTATTCAAGTTTGTCAGTGTTATGATGCCCTCATCTATTAAATCAGAGACTGTATTAGATAATAGCCAAGGCCCCTTCTTCCACCGATACAGTCTATTTCCCATTTTAGAGAGGTGAGTAGGACAGACATGTGACTCACCTGCCGTCATACGCTAGGGTCACCATCTATATCTAAAAAGATGAATCTCCATGAAAAACTACGTGAGTTATGGCTTCTGCCCATAAGAAAACACAGTAAGTTCACTTCAGGCTTATTTAAAATGGCACACAACTCAAAATGAGGTGTTTATTTTGAAAAGGAAAGGACTCCTGATGAGTTCCTGGGGTCTGGTCTGTAGGGGTGGCTGCCAGGTAAAGAGAGACCAAATGGGTCCATTCCTAGGAAGGGCTGAAAGTGGGGCGGGGGCGGGGGAGGTGGGGGGGAGGAGGCAGAAAAGGCCCCGAGAGAGTGAGAACTGCACAGGGTCCAAGAGGCTGCAGGAGTCTGGAGTGGTCAGAGACGGCCCACACACTGCTGGGGCCTGGCTGGAGAGTAAACCGTGACCAGTTTAATGGTGTTAGCTGCAGGCTTCCCTCCTGAAGACAGTGTCCCCTGAATCCAGTCCCTGACCTATGACCGCAAATAACACATCCCACTCCTTTCAGAGGCTTGTCCCCCACCAACCCCCGCCCCCCACAAGTCTAATTGTGAACTATTACGGGGAAATAAGAAGTTTAGAAATAATGTTAAAAGTTGAGGTTTCTCTTAATAGAAGTCAGACCTATTTTGCAGAATCCTCTGCAGGTGTAGGGCCATAGAAATTCTAGATATGTGTGGCTTGGCAAACTGCTCAGTTCCGTTCTGCTTTCCTCCTTGCTGAGGCCAGAGAATGCTGGCCCTTCTACAATGGTGGGTGTGTTTCGCCAGAAAACTCACATATTTGCGGGTGGGGTCAGCTGGGCGGCTGGAGGGATCTTTCAAAAGTCCGGGTGAGGACTTCAAGCACTGCAGGAACTTACAAGGGGTGAAAACTAATACCGTGGGGTGAGCAAATTCCCACTGTCGGTGAAGCCGGAGGTGCACTTCCAGAAACATGACAGGTAAGCGACTGACTATCACAGGGAGGCAGAGCCTCAGAGCTGCAAGGCTGTGCTCTAGAATCCTGCCATCACATGCACCTTTTCTGTGGTACCTGGACCAGCAGTTAAGGGCTCCTCGGGTTACCCTGGGCTCTCTGGCCTTGGCGAGATTCATCTTAAGTGGCTGCAACTACAGGTACCCCCAAAGAATGTGGAAACCAGGCAAATACAATTCTCTCCAGAGAATTTCATCAATGCACAGTCAATAATAGGCGTATGCAAGGCCACCTTAAAACAGTAGATCTTCATTTTGAGGAGTTTATAATATTGATCTCAGTTTGGGGATGCACAGGCTCAGGTTAAGTCTTAAGAATCTGTGGTTTAAAGAGATAGAATGGCCCTAGATTAAGATGAGATCGGATGAAAATGTAGTTTTTCTTAAAGAAAAGGTAAATCTGTTAGAAAGAAGGTTTATTGGCTGTTGCAAACAGAGCAGAAAGAGCCCCCAAGGCATAGAATGGTGACGCTTAGCCAAGGACAGTCCAGGACAGAGAGACTAGACCAGAGGACCTCGACATTCCCCCTTGCTGACTTGGCCTTCTCCAGCACAGCCTTGGTCAAGCTGGAGGACACAGCTAATGATTTCCCACACAGCTCCTCGCTCTGACTGTACTCTCTAGGCAATCACCTGCTAGAAGGTGGCCTTTTGTGCAGACCTGCCACAGGGACAGAGAGCTGTGGTCTGGCCAGTATGAACATGCTGGCTACAGGGAAGTCGTGCTCATGTCCTCCTAGCCCTCACTGAGAATGAGTAAACTGTACTCTATTTTACACATGAGCCTTATGAGCTGGTGTACACGCACTCTTGCGAGACAGATCTTCTGTCTGGGTGCTGAAAAATCAGATTTTTAAGCCCACAGGACTATCTGAGCTACCAAAATGCTAGCTGGTGCCTCCTGGCCACCCTGGGCTGGCCTGTGCCCTCCCACTAGAAATGGCCACACTCACCTTTTACAGGACACTGTATGGTCACATTTGCTTGCAGGGGTGCCTCCACGAAGCCGCCAATCACAACAGAGAGATGGCCATGCTCTGGTCTGGTGATGTTTCTTCCAACAGACAAGACGACAGGTGCCTCTTAATTCAAAGGGAGCAGGAAACTCTGTTAGATTCAGGCTTTTGCTCTGAGTGACCTCACTGCACTTGGTAAGCTCTGCCAAGCTCCTGGAGAGCAGGTGCAGACTCCTGGCTCAGTCCGCATCCCCCGTGGTGCCCCCACGGGGACTTGCACACTCACAGGCTGGAGGTGCTCAATGGGTGGATGCACAGATGAGATATCTACAAAGAGGCAATGCAACCACTATGTACAGACTGTGAGGGTATTTTGGCTTTATAACCAAAACTTGGGATAAATTAAAGAATAAAATTAGGGGATAAATTAGAGGATAAAATCCTCTTTGATCATTTGAAAAAGAAGGAAGTCAGAAATTCATTCAGAGAAAGGCATGGCAGAGCAGGAGTGACATCTCTGCAGTGCATCCTTGGATGAGTAAAGGCAGGACCAAAACAGACCAGGTCCCGGGACCATCTGACTCTCTTTCTGGAAGGAAAATGTGAATGAAACCTGCACAAAACTTGCATGGGAAAAAAAAATAAAAACAAGGTCATAAAGAATCAGGAACTCATTCACAGACTTTTACTTTCCTGGATTTTAAGAACCATGTACTTTTACCAGATTCATTTATGAAGTTATTCAGGAAATGTACTCTGTGCCTGGGCTGGACAATGGAAATACCAAGTTGGAACAGAAACATTCTTGTCCTCAGTCAGCTCAGAGACTGGTGGGAGACACCACTACCATTACAGGGTGATGGGTGATGAGGTAGAGAAATATGCTGGTTGCCCAGGGGTCTCTCAGGAGCATGTGGGGGTGAGGGAAGGCCACGTTCCTCTACCATAGAGCTGCTGCCGTGGCTGGTTTCCCTCCTCCACCTTAGCATGGAAGCATTTGGAGGGAGGGGCCGTGCTGGGCCTGCATCTCAGCGCACAGGCTTCTCCAACTGCGGCGCACAGGCTTCTCCAACTGCGGCGCACATGCTTCTCCAACTGCGGCGCACAGGCTTCTCCGACTGTGGCACACAGGCTCGGTAGTTGCAATGTGCGGACTTAGTTTCCCAGAAGCAAGTGAGATCTTGGTTCCCCAACCAGGGATTCAACCCACATCCCCTGCATTGGAAGGCAGATTCTTAACCGATGGGCCACCAGGGAAGTTCTCACATATTTCTTTACTTTTTTTTTTTTAATCACTAATGCATAGCATGTGAAAGAGTAACAACATTTAGATCTGTTTGGTAACCATGTCTTCTGCAGAAGAGAATTTGGGAATGACCACGTTCAGGTGGCCAAATGTTCCATTTGTTCCTTTAGTGCCTGGGGCACTGAAACGGTATGCTGGGAGTTGAAAATACAGGGACTCTTGGGCTGAGAGAGGGCTGTCGTTGTCAGGTGTCCTCTGGCCCGTAAGGACCTTGCACCAGCTCTCCCATGAATCTGGGTTATCCTGGGATGGACTTAAGAGGAAACTTGCAAGCTGCAAGAGAGACTTCTGTTTCTCCCAACAATCCAGAACCTCAGAACTGAGGTTTTCTAGAAAGGAGCAGGTGCTCGCAGAGGATAATCACCCAGGAGGATCAAGCCACAGAAAATCAAGGTGTGAAGGCCCTACCATGGGAATGCAGCCAGGAGAGGGATGGGGCACCAAGCCATGCAGATCCAAAGAGCTTTGAAAATCAATTGGTCCCACCTCCTCAGGCAGGTTATAGATGTGATGGACTGCCTACATCAATGCTTGGCTGTCTAAATGCTGGGTTCCAATCCCTGATAATTGTCTTTCTCCTCATCTTATCTTAGTTATTTGAGCCATAGATACCAGAAACCACAGAGCAGAGAGTTGGAGGGTAACTTTCTTATTTGACTTTTGATCCCAGATCATGAGCCTGCCACAAGGAAGCATTGCTTACAACTTTGCCAGCTAAAAATGTTCCTTCACCAAAAAGCACACTTTAATATTAAAATGAGTTTGTCTACTTCTTGGGACAATTTACACTAATTTACAATGACAATTTCCTGAAAGTGTTTTTAAGGATTGGGTAGAGGAGTGCCATTGGGAGGTATGCATCAACCTTTAAAGGATAATTATCTCTTTCGTTGGATGGTGGCATTTTAAAAACAAAAAGTCAGCACAATTAACACCACCAATGAAACCCCATCTTGTTAATTTCCAATTCTTAGAAGGTGAACTTGAGAGCAGCTCTTTTCAAAGCATGGTCCTTAGGCCAGCAGTGTCAGCATAACCTGGGAACACGTTAAAAAGGCACATTCTTGGACTTCCCCAGTGTTCCAGTGGTTAAGACTTCTCTAAGACTGCACTGCAGGGGTCATGGGTTTGATCCCAGGTTGGGGAACTAAGATTCCACATGCCTCAAGGCCAAAAAAAGTGCACATATTCAGACTTCACTCCAAGCCTGCTGTGTCAGAACCCCTGGGAATGGGGTCTGGAGATCTGTGTTTTAACATCCCCTTCCCCAGTGATTCTGCTGTGCGAAGCACGGCAACTGCTGCTCCCGAGTTTAATGTTAAAAAACCAGACCACACCCAGGCACTCCAGGCTGCATAATGGGCATTACCTGCATACAGCACAGAAGAACTTTCCACATCTGAACCGAGATGATTAGCTACAGCACATCCATATGTTCCTTGGTCTTTCTTTGTAGGTTTCCGTATCTGTATTTTCCCCATTCCATCAAAAATGACTCTGTAGAACAGTTAGAAAGAGGATGTGTTCATGTGACACAATGAACTACTTGAGAACCACAGCGACCCAAAGAGAATGAAGACATTGACTTTGGGCTGGCAAGGATCCAGAAGATAATCTTGTCAAGCTTCCTGCCTATAAGCAGACCACTATGTAGACTGGAGCTGGAGGAGGGAATGGCAACCCACTCCAGTACTCTTGCCTGGGAAACTCCATAGAGAGAGGAACGTGGCAGGCTACAGTCTATGGGGTCGCAAAGAGTCAGATACAACTTAGCGACTAAACATTAACATACAGACTGGAGGGTGGAAAAGTCACTCTTTTTGGCTGAAACTCATTGAGGCAGTAGAGCTGGACTATGCTCAGAGATCCAGACTTCCTATCTCATTCTGCATGAGAACAGACTCTTCCGGATGGACTCAATGCTTAATTTACCATGTTTTAAAAAAGAAACTAGTGTTAGTTTGCTGGAGGTTAAGCCTGCATTTTCTGCCCTGAGCTTTTCTAACAGACTACAGATGTGAATTTTTCAGTTCAGATTTTCACACTGGAAGTGAGTGGACCTTTAGTTACTGCACCCTGGCAATGGTTATTTTCTCATGATCTGAAAAGCTCAGTGGAAGTAACAAAGCTACTGCTGCATTGTATTGGGTTTTGAGCATGCTGTTAAGAATCAGGGCTACACTGCGTGAACCCCTTATGGTTTCCCAATTATTGACATTCCCAAACATCTGCATGTAAATAACACTTAGAAAATCAGAGCTGGCCAAGAGTATCCTCACAGGCGAGATACTGATTCAGGGGATGGGAAAGAATACTTGTTTCACTTGAATTTTAATTTTTTCTTATTGATTTGAAGTTGCTAATAGATTATCTGGATCAGCAGTCCATATACTATTTTTTTACCTGCCTTCTTCCCATTTTACAGATCTTAGCAACGTGGATCGTTCTGTTGTTGTTGTTCAGTTGCCCAGCCATGTCCAACTCTTTGAGACCCCATGGACTGCAGCACACCAGGCCTCCCTGTCCCTCCCAGAGATTGCCCAAATTCATGTTCATTGCATCGGTGATCCCGTCCAGCCATCTCATCCTCTAATGCCCTCTTCTCCTTCTGCCCTGCATCTTTTCTAGCATCAGTCCTTCCAGTGAATATTCAGGGTTCGTATCCCTTAAGATTGACTGGCTTGATCTCTTTGCTATCCAAGGGACTTTCAGAAATCTTCTCCAGCACCACAGTTCAAAGGCATCAATTCTTTGGGGTTTTGCCTTCTTTACTTCTGCCTTATTTACAATCCAGCTTTCACAACTGTACATGACCACAGGGAAGACCAAAGCCTTGACTATACAGACCTTTGTCAGCAGAGTAATAACATTTCTGCTTTTCAACACACTGTCTAGGTTTGTCATCACTTTCCTGACAAAAAGCAATTGTCTTCTGATTTCATGGCTGCAGTCACCGTCCGCAGTGATTTTGGAGCCCAAGAAGAGGAAATCTGTCACTACTTCCACCTTTTCCTTTCTATTTGCCATGCAGTAATGGGGCCAGAAGCCATGATCTTAGTTTTTTTACTATCTAGTCTTAAGCCAGCTCTTTCACTCTGCTCCTTCACCCTTATCAAGAGGCTCTTTAGTTCCTCTTCACTTTCTGCCATTAGAGTGGTATCATCTGCATATTTGGGATTGTTGATGTTTCTCCCACCTTCTGGCTTGTAACTCATCCAGCCCAGCATTTCTCATGATGTGATTGGTGTACAGGTTAAACAAACAGGGTGACAGCAGACAGCGCTGTCGTACTCCTTTCTTGATCTTGAACCAATCAGTTGTCCCATACAGCGTTTTAACTGTTGCTTCTTGACCCTCATACAGGTTTCTCAGGAGACAGGGAAGATGGTCTGGTATTGCCATCTCTCTAAGAATTTTCCACAGTTTGTCATGATCTACAGAGTCAAAGGCTTTATCATAGTCGACGAAACAGAGATAGATGTTTTTCTGAAGTTCCCTTGTTTTCTCTATAATCCAGCGAATGCTGGCAATTTTACCTCTAGTTCCTCATCCTTTCCTAAACCCAGCATGGACATCTGGAAGTTCTTGGTTTGCCTAATGCTGAAGTCTAGCATGCAAGATTTTAAGCATGACTGACTGTTTTGACCAACTGCTAAATACTCTATGTTTCTTCATGAACTAAACTGGGCCACTTCATTTCCTGTCACTTTACATTGCTTGCTTACCCTCTGCTGTAGCCATAAAGAACCTCTAACAATTTCCAGAACATTCCATGGTCTTTCATCACCCTGAGCTTTTGCATATGTTGTTCACTCTATTTGGAATGCCCTTCCCCACTTTTGGCAACTCTGACTTACCCACTGAGTCCTGGAGCAAATGTAATTTCCCTTGTAAAGCTTTCGCCAATACTCCTAGAGTTATCTTCTGCCCCCTCTGGGCTCCTTCTGGTTTGGTTCATATATTTATTTGATGAAATATCTTTTTATTCTCATGAGATTTGTGATATTTTCAAAAGCAGGGACCAGATTTTATTCACAGCTGTGCATTTTCAATGTCTAGCACAGTACCTTTTATATGGCAAGTTTTCAAAAACATTTAGTGACTCAGTGTATGAATGACTAGAATAGAGCAGAATAATAGTAGAGAATCAATGTACTAGAGAATGCAAGCTCCCCTGCAACCCACAAATGAAGTATACAAAGGTGGGAAGAGACCAAAACAGCTGGATTGCCCAGAACAAAAACAGGAATAAGGCAGAGGTAGCTATGATCAGGGCTAGGCTCTCACTGTCAAATCCCTGTTAAGGAACAGTTGATTAAGAAAAAAAGTAAAACTAATAACTCTACATGACAAATGTTTATGCATGAAAATCTTTTCTTAAATTATTTCATGTGTATGTTTGTATGATTTAGCAATTCTCAAAGGATTCCTTTGTTTCAGTGGTCTCAGTTTTACAGTACACTAGGAAGTCACCGAGAAATAGCTGAGTACACATGAACCTTCCCGCCAGGTGATGTCACCCAGGATCTAGGCTGGACCAGTCCCTGGGCTGGAGAACCAGAAGGTAGAGTTCTTTAAGGAATCTGATCTTGACCTCCACCACAAAATCTTATTCTTTACTTGAAGAGATAATGAAGCTGATCTCTCCACAGACGTCACCCCTAGGGAATCCACCCACAGCCTTCGCTTCCTAGCTGTGATCTCTTACTCAGCTGGCATCCAAACACACTCCACGCCTACACTGTTGCCTCCTATTGGAGACGGGCGCTTGGAAACATCATTCCATTTCTGCATGACTTCAGTTGAAAAGATTTGTGAAAGTCAGAAAAATATATCTAAACTCGAGAATTTTTCTTGCATAAAGAAATTTAAACATAAGTTGAAAAAATTAATTAGGTGTATTGGAGAAAGAATGGAAATAAAAATAGATCTTTTAAAAATTCCCTTAAAATATTAAAAACAAAAACTCTTACTAGCCAACTAGGACTGCTTCAGTGTCAAATGGCTGGTCCTTAAAGTATGCAGAAACAGGTCTGAGTTAGGATGGCAGAATCTTTATGGGATCTTCAGGAGCCTCAGCCACAGAAACTAATGCAAATTCCACTTGAGCAAGTCAGATGATCACAAATCAACTCAGTTCATCAAACACTGACTTGAACTAACCACGGTCTTCTACCACATCCCTCTAGTACTTTATGGCCACAAATCAGCTGATCAACTTTCTCGGCCTCTGTTTCTCATAGTTTCTTTTTTTTTTTGAAATAAACTTTATTTTGGAATGATGTTGGCATTACAGAAAAGCAACAAAGATAGTACAGAGGGTTCTTATCTCCTTCTTTCTTGGTTTTCCCTGATGTGAACATCTTCAGCATGTGATACTTCAGTATGTGATCAAAACTAAGGCACCAGCATTGGTCCATCACTGTTGTTAACAAAACTTCAGTCTTTATGTAGATTTCATTAGTTTTCCTACTAATGTTCTTATCCTGTTGCACAGTCTCCCATTCAGGACATCGTATTGTATTTAGACATTATGTCTCCTTAGTCTCCAGAAGGTCTGTGACAATTTTTCTGTCTTCCCCCAACCCCTTCCCTTTTTTTGATGACTTTGACAGTTTTGAGGACTACTGATAATAAATAGAATGTTCCTCAATTTGGGTTTGACTAACGTTCCTTATAATTTCTAAAGTGAAATTGTTGAGTAATCCTGAAAGGGTGGTCCTTGGATCCCAGGGGTCTGTGGGGTCAAAACTATTTTCATAATAGTAAATATTGATACTATACCATTATTTGCCCTTTTCACTGTGAGTGTTGACATTTGCACTGATAGTAAAGGCAGTTGTGGATAAAACTTGGCACCAGAATGGAATCAAAGCTATGGCAGCAAAGTGTACCAGTAGTCACTGTATTCTGGCTACCACACACTTGCAATAAAAACAAAATGCCAATTTCCCACAAGAATGTCCTTAACGAAGCAGTAGAACTTATTATTTCACTAAATCTCTACCCCTGAGTGTAACTTTTCTAACATTCTGTACAACAAAACAGGAAATACACACCATAACTCTGCTATCTGCCAAAGTCTGTGGGTGTGACTGTTTGAATTGCTAGCTGAACTAGCTCCTTTTTCATGGCATACTACTTTACTTGAAATAGTGACTGACAGATAAGCCAGGGTTATTTGGATTTAGGTATTTAGAAGATATATTTTTTTAATGAACAAAAATGAGCTGGCCAATGCAAGGAAAATAACTGACAGTAATTGTTGCCGATGATAAAATTTAAGCTTTCGAGTGAAAATTAGAATTTGAGAAAATCAGTCATGCTCACTATGAGCCTGACTGCTTCCAAAAGCTCAAAGACTTTTCTGAAAAGTTGCGATAGTAATATCAAAGAATACGTGTATTTTTGGTATTGTATAATGAAATGTGTTAACATTTGGAAGATGTGTATAACTCAGTCAGCCAACATTTTCCAAATGACCAATGTATGACATTATAAAATCTAGTCTAGTTAAAAGATCCATTCAAAGAACAAGATAAAGCAACAGATTTCATTGTAACAGACTACCAAAATCTCCTTAACATGGTTTTAGATTCCACATTCCATCTAACCTTTAAGAAACTACCGCTTGTCTATTTTTAGTGTAGCATTAAAGAAGAATAGCCATAATTACCTTAAAAGATTATGAATATATTCCTTCTCCTCCCAACTAACCTATCTATCTATCTATGAAGCCCAATTTTCTCCATAAACTTCAATTAAAACAACATATGGCAACAGGCTGAAGGTAGAAGCATTGAGGAGAAAACCCAGCTATGTTTTATTAAGCCAGACATGAAAGAGATTTGCAGAGATGTAAAACAATGTCACTATCATTAATCTTTAAAATACTGCTTTTCAAAAATTATGTTATTTACATGAACATGAATTGGGCTTACTACTATTACTTCTAAATGGATTAACAAACAGCTATTTAAAATGTTTCATGGTTTTTAAAAAAAAATAAAATAAAATAAAATGTTTCATGGTTTTAATTTCTAAAAGCGTAAACATCATGAGATATATTAACATATTGACATAAAGTTAATTCATATTAACAAAAGTTCTTTGGCTTCTCATCATTTTTTAAGTTTGAAGGAGTCCTAAAACCAAAAGATTTGAGAACTGCTGAGTAGTTGATCTGGAAGGTTTATTCCACTTCAAAAACTACATTATACTCTAATGTTCAGAGTTCTAGGCAAAAAAATTAAAAATTAGATTTGTTCTATCTTTCCATTCTAAGACAGCCCAATGATTTATTATAAAAATTGAACTTTACCTAGATTTCTTTTAGTGCTTCACACATTAGGCGATGCAGAAAAAAAGGATGATAAAAATAAAACTTGCATTTTTAAAGTACCTTATGGTTTGCAAAACAATTTAACATCTATGTCTCTTAACAATCCCTGGAGGTGGAATAAGGAGCTGTTGAATGCAAATTGAAAGAAAGCAAGATGTCTACAGTCCTGGGTGTGTTAACAGCAAGATTTGGAGACAGCAGAGAACACAAAATGAGTGAATGTTTCCGTTATTCCGTTATTTATGTAAAATGAATGAAATGTGACATTTTTCACTGACATGGATAGCTATTACACTAAAATAAGGTGACTGAATATTGTACTTCAAATATCTCAAAAACTTTGATCCTTATCATCTTACTTTTGGATTTTGTGACATAAATCATTGCCTGATATTAGAAAATGACTTCAGGTAATCTTTCTACCAAAGCTATTATTTGTGTGACTCTCTAACATCCCTGGCGGGGTCCAGAAGACGTGGCCCCTGGTTCTCACTGGCCATGAATTAGTCATGAGATTCTGTTCCTCAATGATCTCATTGAGAAAGTATCAACTCCTGCCCTGCCAGACTCATGGGGCTGGTGTGAGTTCAAACGAGACACCACATCTCCCAGATATAGAAGATTCTTGCAGTTCCTGCACATTTTAAGAGAATTGCAAATATGTTTTTTTAATGGCCTGATTGATTTCACTTTTTTGGAGGCATGATTTTTTAATTTTTTGGCTGCACCATGCAACATGTGGGATTTTAGTTCCCCAACCAGGGATCAAACCTGCATCCCCTGCATTGGAAGCACAGAGTCTGAACCACTGGACCATCAGGGACGTCCCTGATTTTATTTTTAAATGTTAAGTGACCTGCAAAGAGAGAGTCTGTAGTTGCTAACATTTAATCTTATGGTATCTAGTTTTGTACCACCTTTATGGTAGTGACTGTGATGGTACAATTTCATTTTTAGAATTCCAATGCATATGTGAATGCCATGCCCCAACATTTTGGAGTTTCTTTCCGAAAGGATCCTGTTGGAAGCACATTCTTAGGAGAAGGAATTTGACAATATTTTAAGGAAAGCTGGAATATCCATTTAGAAGGCATCTCAGAGTAAACACTGTACTCTGACTGTACTTACTTTTCTGAGGGCTGTAACAGTGCTCCATCCTTGGTCCACGTATAGGTGGCCTCACTGGGGGTGACAAGCTCACACAGTATGTTGATGGCCTCCGTCCTTCTTGTAATGTAGACTGTATTTCCAATCCTTGAATTTACTGTTTTATTAAAGGAAATTGAGGTGGGTTGGCTCTGCCTCAAGAGGACAGGTCCCTTCGGCTTGAATGTCAGCTTGCCTGAGTTTTTGGAGTTCGAGCTTTGGGGCACACTTCCAGTCTCCCCCCTTAGCTGAGCCGTGGGAAGTGCCTCTCCAGGGATGCCCCTCCAGTGCGCATGTGCAGGCTGCCCCTTGGTTAACTCAGCCACCAGCTGATATATCACCTGGGATGCCAGGTCATCGCTGATCTCCCCTGTTTCCATGAGCTGGCTCATGTTCCTGATCAATTCATCAAACTGGGCGGTCTCCATGCTATAGGCTCCCTGTTTAACTGCTGCTTCAAACTGCTTGTTCTCAAATTCCCAGGAGTTGGCATTTCCTGCAGAAGGGCTGCAGTGGCCCAACAGAGCTCTCAAGAGAGACTGATTGTTAATTTGGCCATTGTGCAGATAAAGCTCATTTTTGTTGTTCCACATCAGCCTCATCTTATGCCATGTGGCTCCCAGATTACTGGCCTCGTTGTTGTCCATCCCAGGATATTCCCTGGTGTGCCCTCCAAGGGCTGGGGGTGCAATGAGCCGGTTGTCGGTGCCAATGAGCTTAAGCACCACAGTCTCCTGTGCGGGGCCGGCGATGCAGCGGTACTCACCAATGTCGAGGGCAGCAAGGCTGTGAATCTTCAGTGAGCCTGACTTTGTGAAGCCAAGTCGCTTGGAGTTCTGCAGACAACGCCCGTCCTTCTCCCACTGTATCCGAGATTTCTGGAATCGTCGCACGGGGCACTTAATGATCACAGATGTGTTGGGCAGCAGATAGGCTCTGCTCCCGACGGTCAAGTTAATGCGTTTCTCTTCCCTTGTCTGGATGTAGACTCTCTGGACACCAAGGATCTGAGGACCCTGCTCCCCGAGTCTGGCCTTCACCTCTGGTTTCATTTCTGTTGGAAAAATAAAGAAAGCAAAATACAAATATCTTTATAATGACAACATTTGTCCATTCTCTTCCAAGGCTGACAGAAATCAGCAAATTCTTTTCACTTTTAAAACATTTGAGAACTAAAAAAAAAAAAAGATATATATATATATTGTTATTTATGCTATATATGTATGTGTGTGTGCATATATATATATATATACACACACATATTCATAGATGGGGACAAATTTCACTTTAGCAGCAAAGAATGCAAGTTTGAATGAATTGCATGAAATAATGTCAATTATTTTATAAAGGAGGCTTTGGTTTGGGGAGGCATGAGGTTAAACGGTTAAATATTTCCATCAATAAGGGGACATCTGATGTGTGGGGCCTCCACCATCTGGGAGGCTCTTGAGGATCTAGTATGGCTCAGCCAAGGGTATCCAAAATCGGAAGGAGGCAGTGAGTGTGGGGAGGTGAGTGAATGTATTTGAAGGATCTGAAAAGGAGGATGCAGCTGGGGACCATAGCAGATCACCCAAGCAGGCCAGTGAAACTAGCATGGGGGCCTGAAGAAGCCAGTGATGGAAGAAGAAAAGTTCAAACTGGCACTTGAAAGCCAGCTGAACGGTGAGAAAGAATCTCAGCACTACCATCTGAATAAGTGATCTACTCTCTCCGAGCCTCAGCTATGTTTTCTCACCTATAACATGCAGGTGATGTTAACACCTTCACTGGAGGAATGTGAAAAGTCAGAGCATTTTTATCAAGTGCACAGTAGTGGGATGTATGAGCTCTCAGACATTGTTGTCAGCTGACAAAGGCGGGTCCAGCCAGCATCAACAGGGCAAGCAGAGAGGGATCACAGGTGGGCTGACTCTTCCTTGTTCCTGGGCACCAGCCACAGGTAATGGGTGGAGGCCAGAGAGGTTGCTCCCCAGATCCCATCCCCCAAAAGGAGCGGCTCTTCTCCCGACCCCACTCCCTCTGCCCACCCCCCAACCACTCACTTTCAGGAAGGAAGGCCTCAATGCATCCTGGGGTGATACTGAAGTGAGTAGGTAGGGGGATGTGATGTGGGTGGGAGTCTGATTCCTCTTTGAAGATGTATGTAGGTCCATGGACTAGAGGGCAGGAAGCATCAGGGAGTGACAGAAGAGAGACTGGACTCACATCAATGACACTGTGGAATTAAGGTCGTGAGACAGGGGCCTAAGAGCCTCAGAGGACCCCAGTTATGGTTCTTTCAACGGTTACGGCTGTAACACTGGTAGGGATATGCTGGGAGAAGAACTAGATCGAGACCCCATTTCTGTTTTTGTCTTTGAAACTTTTTGGCCTTGCTGCACAGCATGTGGGATCTTAGTTCCCTGACCAGGGATCAAACCTGCACCCCCTGCAATGGAAGTGTGGGGTCTTAATCGCTAGACCACCAGAGGGAAGTCCACTTAAGACTGACTTCTCAGGCCCTGGACACTACCCAGATTGTGTTGGTTGAAATAACTCTTGACTTCACTTGGGTGGTTCATGATCCCATTAGGGTCTGGCTGCTGCCTGCTTAGGTGTGGGGGTGGCAGTAGGTTCAGAAAAACAACAAGGGTAGATGCATAACTTCTGCATTAGAGTGTGTTCTAAATGAGGGACAGGCATAATAAGTCTGCACACAAATTCCACTGAGATGTCATTTCTAGGCCAGGCCCCTTGTCCAAGGTTTTGCCAATGAACTCTCCCTCCCCTCGGATCAGCTTGAAGTGGAGCCAGATGGCCTGTCATGTGTAAATGTTTACCTGTTGGGATAGAGATTCTTCACAGAGGACATCAAGATCCCCTCAGTAAGTTAAGACATAGAGATTTCTTTCTAGGTTGGCAACACAGAATTTTAAACTTACTGCTGTTCAACAGTGGTCAAAAGCAGGAGGAGGATTCCTGCTAAATTTGTGGTTCACCCATTATTACAGGCAGAGATGCCATCTTTTTTTTTTTTTTTTTTTTTTATCAAACACCTTGGTCACAAAGAATCGGACATGACTGAGGTACTAACACTTTCACTTGCAAACACTGGGCTTCGCCGGTGGCTCTAGTGGTAAAGAATCTGCGTGCAATGCAGGAGACATGGGTTGATCCTTGCAGGAGATCCTTGGGTTGGAAAGATCCCCTGGAGAAGAACATGGCAACCCAGCATTCTTGCCTGGGAAATTCCATGAACAGAGGAGCCTGGTGGGCTACAGTCCATTGGGTCGCAGGGTTGGACACGATTTGGCAACTAAACAATATTTATTTATTTGGCTGCACTGGGTCTTAGTTGACACATGCAGGATCTTCAGGTGTGGCATGTGGGATCTAGTGCCCTGACCAGGGATGAAACCCAGGCCCCCTGCATTGGAAGCATGGGGTCTTAGCCACTAGACCACCAGGGAAGTCCCAGAGATGCCACTCATAACAGCAGTCTGCACAACAAGGGCTCAATCCATTGCAACGGATGGCGGCTATAGCCCTATACCAGGTCTTGCTGTAACAATGCTGCTCCGAGTGTCTCCTCTCCCGACAGTGTACATTACGAGGAAGTTGGACCACTCGCAGCAGAAGAGCCCAAGCAGCTGGGAGACAGTCCTGGGGTTCAGGCCAAGGCTATTGACTAACCACCTGGGAGTATTTCTCTACTTTCCCAACTTGTATAGACTCGCAAAGAGTCAGACATGACTTAGCAACTGAACAACAATAACACAGACATACCGGTGTGTAAGTTTCAGTATCAACTCTGACTAGAGGCAGTGGTTCTCAAACTTTGCTGCCAATTAGAAGCACCTGCTGTTATTATTTTTTAATTTTACTACCCTGGGTCCCACGCTCCAGAAATTCTGACTTATGGGGAACAGAAGCCTGGGCATCAAAATTTGTAAAACCTCCCCAGGAGACTGAAATGTAGAGCAAAGATTGAGAACCACCACCCCAGAGAGTCTCACTGGGTTAACTCAAAGATAATTTGATGGGCTGCTACTGGTGAACGGGGAAGGGAAAATAAGAAACAGCCACTGTGTTTTCTGCGAGAACCCTGCCAAAATCTTTACAACATGCAGTGTCCTCTGTAGGAGGAAGCAGGAGGATGCTTTGTGGTCTTACCATCAGGAATCCTTGTATTTCCTCTGAGTAATTAATTCATTTCCTACCCAATGAACACTGAACTGTGTCATTGACCAGGTTGCCTTTTCCAAGACAGCACTTATGTTATCAAGTTTAGAGCTAAATTTATGCCTGCATATGACGGAAGTGTAAAATTTAAGACATAATTCTATATTAGTCTTGCTTATTTCCTGTTTTATTAGCATGGGTAACTCAGAGAGGAAAGAATCTGCCTGCAATGCAGAAAGCCTGGGTTTGATCCCTGGGTCAGGAGGATCCCCCGGAGAAGGGAATGGCAAACCACTCCAGTATTCTTGCCTGAGAATCCCATGGACAGAGGAGCCTAGTGGGCTAAGGTCCATGGGGTCACAAAGAGTCAGCCACAACTGAGTGACTAACACTCACTAATTTTAATTAGCTGGTTGCTTTTTATGAATATTTAAAAGTGGCCTATTGTCACAATGCAGGGTGTGTAATGTATGTGTATACACACATACCTAGCCATAATACCTACGTACATGTGTTTACATACACTGATACTTATACAGGCATCTTTTTATTACTATTTAAAAGAATTCAGTTGAACACCCCGTCTGGTCATTGTTCCTCCATGATGGATTATGGGAAAGACAGATGGTGAACGTGGATGGCTTTGAAAGTCACTCTTTAAATCAGAGTTTAAGCTGGGTCAAAGTCAGAATTTTGAACTTGTGCAACTGAGGGAGGGATGGAGAGAGACTCTCTTAGGGCTTCTACAGATGAGGCCATCGCTCGAATATTCCTGCTTGTACTGGGAAGGTGTCGAAGCCCGCACGGGGAAGGAAGTGCATTCCTAGTTCAGGGTTCAGGCTGGAGATGACCTGCGACTGGTATGAGCCCACACCGCATCCTGTGTGAAGATGGGTTCTAGTTACCATGGAGATGAGTTCTAAGTACCTTTAGAACTGGTAGCCAGATATCCCCAGCTAAGCTTGGGGCTTAAAGTATTAATAGATGGGGCCATGATGCCTTCAAAAGCAGGCTGGGGAGTCTGCAGGTGACAGGTGGTGTTTAGCCTTGGGAAAGGACTGGCCCATGGCTGGGTGAGCCACACAAGTAGCCCAGCTGCTCCCTCTGGCTGCATGCCCATCTGCTAGAAGGCAGATCCATTCCCAACCAGGCCTGGTTAGCCACTGCTCACACCAGCTACAGAGCAATTCAGTGATCAGGTGTGCCTCGGCAGTGCTCTGGGACCCAGGAACTGCTAGGACTTGGGCCAGTTTCTCTCTGTGACTCCTGTCAGTTCCTTCGGAGCAGTGCCTGGAGCCTGGCATCCTCTGACACAGATCTTGGGTAGGAATCTGTCTGGTTTGGAGTGACTGCCTTCCTCTGCATTTCTATGTGCCCCCAAACTGCCAAACCAAACAAGCCTGAGGAGACAGAGTGTGGACAGGAACCCATGGCATCCTGCTGGGGGGCTGTGGGCAGTGTGGGGATACTGAGCCATCCCTCCATCTCTCCCATCACACTGGATGTGAGAAAACACATCATTCAGCTTTTCTAGAAAATGAAAAGCTCTTCCTTCTGAAGGTCCTCTTTCCGGCCTCTGTGCCAGCCTTTCCTGCCCCGTGCCCAAGGCTGTCTGCATGCCCGTGTCCTGCCATGATTCAGTTGTAAACCTGCCATGACTCTCAGCCTTGGTGCCACACCAGGTTTCTGCCCCGAGCCATCTGTTCTGGGTGTTTACACTTGTCTCACCAGCACTCGACTCCTGCCACTCCCAGATGGGCTTTGGCTGCAAAGCAGCCTCTAAGTCGTCTTATTCCCATGCTGGAGTCCTGGCCCTCAGAGTCCAGCCTGCAATTCTTTAAGGCAGAAACTGGAGTTGCCTCGATTCCTCCCTGTCCATTGGTCTGCTGG